GTTAGATCTGAAGAGTGGATATTGTCAAGTCGACATGGCGCCGAAAGACAGAGAGAAGACAGCGTTCTCGATGGGCTCCGGACTGTGGCATTTTACCGTCATGCCTTTTGGATTGTGCAACGCGCCAGCTACCTTTGATAGACTAATGGAGTCTGTGTTAAGGGACTATCCTGGACTACCTGTTTAGTGTGCCTGGATGACATCATAGTGGTTGGGAAATCCTTTGACCATCATCTGAAGAATTTGGAAGAAGTTTTCAATCGACTAGGGAGTTCTGGTTTGAAACTTAGCCTTAAGAAATGTCATCTGTGTCTAGAAAAGGTACACTACTTGGGCCATGTGGTCTCCTCCCAAGGAGTTGCGGTAGATCCACAGAAGGCCAAGACAGTGGAAGAGTGGCTGATACCTAAAGATAAGCTTATGAACTACAAGCTTTTTGGGACTATGCACATACTATCGACGCTATGTACAGGGTTTCGCCACCATCGCAAAACCATTGACCAGACTTACCGAAGGCGAGAGGCGTTTCTCTTGGGACTCAGATTCTGACGAGGCATTCAAGGAGCTTCATTCAGATCAGGGAAGACACTTTGAGTCCAATCTGTTCCAAGGCGTCTGTGAAGTCCTGAACATCCGCAAGACCAGGACGACTGCTCTACATCCACAATCCGATGGGATGGTTGAACGCATGAACAGAACTATCAACCGTTATCTGGTAGTCTCTGACCACCAAAGAGACTGGGACAAATTTCTTCACCTGTTCCTGTGGGCCTACCGTTCATCCGTCCAAAAATCTACAGGGCAAACTCCAGCCAGCATCGTTATGGGACGGGAAGTGCGCCTACCCTGTGATCTGAAATTTGGTTGTCGACCGGGAGAAGAAGTCGCCGGAGATTATGTCCACACACTACGTCAAGGATGGACGACATTCATCAGAGAGTCCGCCGCAATATTCAAAGTGCTAGTGACCGAATGAAGGAACACTACGACATTCAAGCTGATCATGGAGGATACCAACCAGAGAATTTGGTGTGGCTATATAACCCGCAGAGACGTCGTGGGTTGTCTCCGAAGCTACAATCCTCTTGGGAAGGGCCATACGAAGTCATGGATAGGATTAATGACATCGTATACCATATCAGAAAATTGCCAAAAGGAAAACCGAGGGTAGTCCATTTCAACCGTTTGAGCCCCTACCAAGGCGAAATAGAAGATCGTGCTGGAACCGTGAGAACCTGCAGCATTGATCCCCCTGATTCGGAAATGTCCTTTGACGATTTCATAGCCCGATACAACAGCAGTAGAAGGCTCGCTATGGCGTAACCAAAGAAGACCAACGAGACCTCTTTTCCATGCCTCCTGATTATTCGCTCGCTCATTGTGTGGTTCGAGATTTGCGGATGTCTAGAGGAATCGCTGCGACGTTCAATGATAAGTTTGGGCGTGTCGGAGAACTACGCCGACAGGATCCAAAGGTTGGAAGCGTCTTGAGGCTAACCGACAATGCACATGGTCAAGCAAGACACATCTTCTACCTGGTTACCAAGGAATGGCCACCGAGTAAGCCGACTTATTTCAATCTATGGAAGACCCTGATTGAACTGGGAGAAGCCCTGCTAAACAACAACATTGCACGATTAGCCATTCCGAAGCTGGCGTGTGGACTCGATGGTTTGAGTTGGAGTACAATCCGGAACATGATTGTAGTCTTGTTCAGATTTACGGGAATCGAGATCCTCGTTTGCTGCTACAACCCATAGCTGAGATCGGGAGAGAAAACTGTAGACTGCTATTTCCAGACCAGACTTCGCAATGTATTAGGGGCCAGCTTTGCAAATACCTTCATTCACAGTGTACATCTCGGGACGAACATGTGCCTAAGAAGGGGCAGTGTTGCGGACCCGTACCGTGTGAACTCGACCTAAGCAACTATATGTCCCGCCTCAGATGACCTTAACATCGCATTAAAGAATAGACACCGTAATGATTCATTCGACGTTTCGAGAAGAATCGAGTCCCACTGGAATGGACTAGTACATACGAGAACGTTCGAAAACCTTCTCTACGCACTAACGATCTATGGACTATTCTAGAGTGCTTTACCTGTCGGTATAAAAGCCGGCGGCTGTGGCCTACAGAGAGCAGTTATAAATACCAGTGCAGTTGACGCTCTAAAATTCAAAAATAAATTCTTAGTTATAAATCGTTTGTAAATAGTTCTATAAGTCTTTTATCGTTATTGTTTTTGTTAATTAGTGTTAAATATAGTGTTTAAATAAATTGTGACTTTCTATCCACACGGAACCGACGAAAAACGTAACAATAATTTTAACGATTTTATAACAATCGGAAATAAAAAAAAAATTCTGACCTCTTCAGTTGACTCTCTGATCACTTGATTTAGACAGATCGAATATGTCGACTTCCCTTAACCTATAAACCAAATTTTAGCTTTCGATATGCCGAATTTATGATTTAACCATAATACTTATTCATTATTCAAGATCATGTTTTTGGTCAATTTTACACGTTTTATTTTTTATCTCGAAAGCTCTATTAGAGCCTTATAGGCTAGTATAATAAAAAAATATTTTGATAAATGTTTAAAAAACGATATGATTAAAGTGCAGTAAATCTTAAAAAAAAAAAAAAAAAAAACACGAAAAAATTTTAAAACTTTAGACGATCAAATCTATTTTTTAATTTTTATAAGGCTTCTTGATAAAAAATTAGTGTTTTAAAACAGCCATAGCAGTCTAGATTGTTAAAAATGCAATTTTAAGCAAAATGTCAAAGTTGACATATGATATTCTATGGAGAGTGTCATTTTCCTATGAAATAAAATTAAAAATATACCGAGGGTGCCATTTAAAAATCAAAAGTTGTAGTCATTTCCGTTAAAATAGGAAGTGACCAATTGACAGTTGAATGTGTTAATCAGCCTTAATTTATGTCATATACTAACATACCAAATCTCGTTTTTATCTGAAATAAAAGGTTATAGGGGTGAGCCATTTTTGAGACGCACCCGGTATATATACAGGGTGTCCCATCTAATTAAATATATAATTTTGAGTGATATTTCGAAAATTACAGTTCCTAATAAAAAAATAGTTTGTGGAGATAATAGAGATAATAAAGATAGCCCTGATGGAGATCTACAACAAAATTCATTATTGGCAGATACACTTCTTCTTAGCGGTATCACCGCATTTTTCACAAATTGACCGAGAAAGCGTTTAGAATAATATTGCCCCCTAACTAGTGGACTATTAATACAGGGTGTTTCAAAAGAACATGTGTCATCTCTCGTGGGGAGATTCCTCTCGTAAAAATAAGATTTATTTTCATATTTACATAAGGTCCGATTCTGCTTTGTTCGTAGCTATAGGGTGTTAAAGTAATCTTCTTTTTTCGATTTTTATATTTTCTTCAAAGTGCTTTTAGCGATTTGATTGAAATTTTGAGAATAAAAGTTACTATAAGTGCAATATATTTTAATGCTCCAAATGTGTCGACATATTAAGGAGGGACGTGCATATGGGTTATCACTGGAATATTTTTCTAAAAAAAAATATGTGCGCCAATTATTTTTTCATTTTGTTAGCAAAATCGTGTAGACAGTTAAATGCTGATTAAAAGTTGCCTCTTGGTATATTATCGATTTCGGTCTCCTTGATGAGTTAAATACAATTTAATTAATTTGCCTAATAATTAATCCAATTCTAATAGTAATCTTTAAAACCGAGTTTAAAACATTTTATCATTAGCTTGTCAAAATGTTAAATAAGTATTCATTAATTCCTCATCAAAAAATATAAAAAAAATTCCACTCACAAATTTTGAGCTACCCTGTAGAAGCTGAAATATTTTTCTGAAATACATCCCAATTGATACTTTAGGTTTGTTTATTATAGGAACTACGGCTGCCCGACGCACTATTGCCGAACCCTGTATCCCAATAACAAACGTTTACCATGTACAGTTGTACAAATATAGGAATAGACTTGGGGATAGCACCGGTCGCGTGTTATTTTATATTTCTCACGTCTCTAGCTATACTTGTTAAGTTATACACGGGTCGTTTTGATACTATTTTTCATTCAAATTGCATAAAAAACTCGATTTTTACTTTTATATCTCTAATCATAAATTATTTTTACCGAACGAAGAACATTTTTTGTATCTATTTATCAAATGGATATTATCATAAATTAAGTACTTTTATCTTTGTCTTACTCATTAAATCACAGATCACCGATTTAGAATGACCAGACCGGTATAAAGTTCCCTCTAAATGGAAATATTAACTCGTTAAAAAAGTCATGAACCTTGACAGGCGAATAAATTATACACCACCGCCGTTAATTTAGTTCTCTTTTATTCGCCCTGCATGTGCTATAATAAAAATATATGTCGTAATTGTCATTTGGATAACGCTTGTCCCGTCCTAGCACAGGACAAAAGGTTCTGCAATTCTTTTACGCTTTTACATTTAATCAGGTCGTTAGATTCTATAGAAAAAAACACTTTATTAGCGCCATTCTCTTTCCCTGTTTCTTTTATTCTTTCTAGTGTGTTTTCTAAATCGTAGCTGTAGAAGAAAAACGTATTTGTACCCATGTACAGTTTGTTCCAATTTTGTGAATTATGGGGTTTCTCGTTTATGAGTAGAGATACAAAGATGTAATTTTCACATCACTGTACTACATTTTTATGAAACTAAAGATGCTACACATAGATTTATCCCAGCTACCTTGGCTCCTAAAATACAGGGCAAATTTGAAAATGTTACTTAACCGATATGTATTATAATATTTTTTGGTACGTGGTGTTTTGAACAATTCCACATAAACAAATTTTCAAAATTACTAAATGTTATATTCCTACAAAAAACCGTTTTGTATTGTATAAAAAATCGCACTTTCTACCATTACATTTTATAAAAGAATTATTTTAAATTGTTTTAATCTTGTATAATGAAATTCAATAACTTGAAATTGAAAATTTCACAGTGAGTGTATTCATATAAAATATGTCCAATCCTTCAATAGTTTAGGACCATAAACATTAACTGGATAAAACAAGAATAAATTACAAATAAAACAATTAAAATATAATAACTTTAATCCTCTTCTTCTTCCTCCTCCTCCTCTTCCTCTCCTTCTGCTTCCTCGGCCTCGGCCTCCTCCCCACCTTCACCAACTATTTCTTTTGGTTTAGGCAAGTGATCAATTCGCCATTGTTCTTCTTCAGCTCCGGTGGGATCCATAACCTCTAGAATTTCTGGACCAACCGGATACTCCTGTTGTACTGTTGGTAAAGGAGATGGTGAAAAATTGTGTTGCATATATTTCAATCCATTTCCAATGTAAATGTTATGGAAAGTTTTTCCTTGAGTGGAAAATGCATAAGCGCCTGGCCATAGATTTGATCTAACTACCGCCAAAGCGTACATGTCGATAATCTCCGACGATGTTCTTACACTCCACGGTGTAACTGCTTCTAATGAAGCATCTTCTGAAAGTGGTGTTAGGAGTGGAGGACCTGTTTCAGGTTCAGCCTTTGGAGCTTTTTCCTTATCTTCTTCATCTTCTTCTCCTAATTCTTCGCCCAATTCCTCATCTTCCACGAAAGTATCAGGAGTTGGATTCCACCTAATTAAAAAAACATTTTGAATATAATTGCATTAATAATTATGATACAATATTTGCATGGTATGCTTATTTGTCGTTTCAAATTGGTTCATGTCTGCGCATGACGTCACCTTCGAATCAAATCCCTGGCAGCTGCATTTGATCGAACAGTTTTTATCTGTTTTTCATCGTGGTTTTATGGTAATTTGCCTGTTTTTATATAATGAGTTTTGTTAGAATTTTCCGTAATTCAATTTCTAGTATTTAGTACGATTGATTTTAGGTGGGTAGGCTAGGTATTAATTTGTTTTAAAAGCTTAAAATACCTGGGTGTGCGGTGGCTACTTGCATCAACACTAATCGGAAAACGAAAGGCACGCACACGCACAGTAAATATTTCGGAATTCCAAAAAGATTTGCCTAAACAGTGGATAATTGATTCCTGTCGAGAGGATAAGGTAAATCTAAAAAATGGTGAGCTTACATTTTGAATCACTTAATTTATAGATCTACTTTGAATAATAACTAAACTAATATATTTAGGGATATCATTACCCTACTCAGTTTTTTGTTTACAATAGTTATCGAGTATCATTGTAAATAATTTTAATTAGAACACAATAAATATGTTTGTGACATATGCATATAAATATTCAATATTCAATATAAGTTCACTTATTTTAGCTTGTGTCTGCTCCATACATTTTGCTGATAGCTTAGAAATTCCAATGAAACAAAGGTTGCTACAATACAATTAAAAAACTAGCCGCAATTTAAGATTTGACACTGTGTCAGTATTAAATACTCCTTTCTCATCTCATAAACTTAAGACTAGTGCAAGAACTGGTCGAATTGCTAAAAGAAGGCAACATAACACAGTAAGTTATGGAGATATTAAAGAAGTCATTTGAGACTCAACCTTCAACTTCATATGACGAACCTTATTTGCAATCTTGAACTAATGAAGAATATTATATTATACTAGCGTGTACCAGCGACTTCGTTCACGTCGAATTAATCATTTGTAATGGTGATGATAAAGCAAAGCAAGAATTTCCAATTAACATACAAACTGGGTAAAATTTTCTCACATTTATGTCAGCATGAGAAAAATAATATGGCGATATTATTATACAGGGTTGTTCACCACATACGACACGGAGTATTGTAGCTAAACGATTAGATTTTTACAAATTGTAAGTTTTGGGTTCGTTGAAGGACTATTAGAGCTACAATTTAAAAATATTTTTACAAGATACAGAGTGTCCCAAATAAGTAAAAAATATCATAGTTTTATTTTTTTAAATAGAACACCCTGTATATTATTCTATTTTTGGATTCTACGATTGAAATAAAGGTAAATTTGATTAAGGTTTATCACACTTAAACCTTACCGTTTTAGAAATATTTTCAATTTTAAGAAATTGCAGTAAAAATTTTAATGCTTCATTTCTCCAAGGGTATCAAAGTTTTTAATACTAAATATTTACTGAAGATTATTTATTGATCAGATATTGTTGCAATAATAAAATTTTACTACCTTATACAGAGTGTCAAAAATTTATATTAAATATTACTAGCTTTAAACGGCAATAACGTGTTTAAGTTAAATGGAACACCCTGTAAATTTTACGTGAATCATATGCACAATTTAATTGTCTATCAAATTTTATTATACCATTTTTTACCTATCTCTACAACTTTTTGTAGAAAATGCATTTTCTTATAATTTAGACCTCATTTATCACTATACCCATGGAATATTGACATTTCAGATTTTTTTTTTAAGCAACATATATGCACAAAATGTACAGGTGGTAAATATTGCAAGCCTATTGGTATACCAAAAAAACTATTTAAATCTTTATAAAAGAGTATACGAATTAAATATACCACCATTATTTCCGACCAAAAATTAGTTAATTACATACTTTTAAATTGTTTTAATTAATAAAGTATTCTAAATAAATGTGGATTTGGCTCAGAAATCAATATAACAATAAATTATGAAAATAAACGTCTCTGCTTTTATAAATCAACATTCGTCAAAAAATGAAATAAAATTTATAAGTCGTTACTTTTTATCACACTGTCTAATACACACACAAAATTCAGTTTTTTAGTATTTGGAGCAATTATTATTAATCAACATAAACAGTCAATTAATGTAGTCTGAATACTGGGATCATATTAATTGGTCCTTTTTAACAAAAATATTTAAACAGTTTTTTTAATTTTTTTTATGAAATAAGCGAGCTATATCGACAATATTAGCATCTGTACTCTTGGAAAATTTGTTAAATCTTTAAAAATAATCTAAAATGTCAATATTCCATGGGTATAGCGATAAATGAGGTCTAAATTATAAGAAAATGCATTTTCAACGAAAACTTGAAGAGATAGGTAAAAAATTGTATAATACAATTTGATAGACAATTACATTGTGCATCTGATTCATGCAAAATATATAGGGTGTTCCATTTAAATTAAACACACTATTGCCGTTTAAAGCTAGTAATTATTTAATATACGTTTTTGGACACTCTGTATAAGGTAGTAATTTTTTTATTATTGCAACACAATATCTGGTCAATAAATAATCTTCAGTAAATATTAAGTATTAAAAACTTTGATACCCTTGGAGAAATGAAGCCTTATAATTTTTACTGCAATTTCATAAAATTGAAAATATTTCAAAAACGGTAAGGTTTAAGTATGATGAGCCTTAATCAAATTTACCTTTATTTTAATCGTAGAATCTAAAAATAGAATAATATACAGGGAGTTCCATTTAAAAAAAATACAACTATAATATTTTTTACTTAGTTGGGACACTCTGTATCTTGTAAAAATATTTTTAAATTGTAGCTCTAATAATCCTTCAACGAACCCAAAACTAACAATTTGTAAAAATCTAATCGTTTAGCTACAATACTCCGTGTCGTATGTGGTGAACAACCCTGTATAACTTGGTAATATTTGAGGGGTAGTTTCATCTCGTTGGAATTTGACTTTCGAAAAATCCGTTTGCCAATAATAAGCTTTTTACGTTGAGTGGTTTGAGCAGGATCGTGATTAATCAGTATGTCAGTCACTTAAGGATTTTATATATTAGTATAGATTAATACAGTAAGAAATGAATAAAAATATATCAGACTTTATTGGTGTAGCATTGTGTATTCAAAACATAGAATTAAAGATCATCTAGTCAACAAATATTAATTTTCACTCTGTGAAATGATAAGGCCGAGTATATAATCCGAAAATCTCTTCAACCGTCGGAAACACCCTTATTCACCAAGCTCTGGACAGAGAGTCATATGCCATATTAATCGCCAACCTCAACAGAGAAGGCATCTAGGAGGAGAAGGAAATGATAAACTAATTAAGAAATATTAATAAACTTGATGCATAAATTATTTAAAAAGCTTATAGGCAACAAAATCTCGAATTTAACTCAAAATTGTGATGGTAAGCTGTGATTTAACATTTGGCGATTTAAAATTTTGACTCGAAGCTGACGTCATTCGTGCGAGAGAGATGGAGCTAAACATGCGGATAGGCATACCATGTTTATTGTATCATGATTAATAATTACAACTTTCAATTACCAAGAGATTCGTCCCTGTGGTAGGATATATGGAGCGGAATGTACCCAAAATGACATGGAGCGGTCTGTCAAATCTTTCAAGGACGGAGGATCATATTTCGAATTAATTTTGTATTCGGTTTTAGCTTGATCTCCGGGTTCTTCTTCCCCCACTTCTTCTTCTTCTGCACCTTCGCCAGCTTCTTCTTCCCTAAATGTATAGTATCCCAAAGGGGCGATTTGTGTGCCGGCACTTATTCTTGAAATTTGAGCTCTGAGGTAGTTCTTTTCCTTTCCCGGAAATTCCGGATATGTAAATATATCTTTTTCTAGATCTCCGGTAAATGATTTGTATATTTGCCGAGCCATCCGGATCTATTTATAAATAATGGTATACCTTTTAACTTTAATATAACTTATATACAGGGTGACGCAGGCTTCCGATAAAGCTTTATATTAGGTTTCTGGTTTGCGATTTTTATTTCAATTTTTTACATAACATGGAGGCAATGAAAACGTACATTTAAAAAATATTTTTGTCAAAATATAGGGTGATTCAAACATATTTTTAAACTAAATTTGAATAAAATATTATGTATTTTTAGCTCAGTGGATTTGCCATTAATTTTCTTTCCAAAAATAAGCATAATGTCATATACTATAACGAGTGGTTTTTGAAATATACCTAACCATTTTTAGACTAAATTTACTACTTATTTAAAGCCCTTTCAAAATTCGAAATTTAAAGAATTTTCTTTTTTCCAACAGCAAGTACTGTATAAAAAGTATCTTCTTCAAAATTTAATGTATCAAAATTTTCGATTTTTTGATATATACAGGTTATACCGGGTGCGTCTCAAAAGTCACCCTTATTATTTCATATAAAAAAAAAAGATTTGGTATGTTACTATATGACATAAATTAGGATTGATAGACGTATTCATTTTTTTTCGGTCCCTTCCGGTTTCACCGGAAATGACTACAACTTTTGATTTTTAAATGGCACTCTCGGTATTTTTTTACTTTATTCGATATAAAATGACTATTCTGAATATATTGACAATTACATCAGACTAAAATATATGTCAACTTTTGGCATTCTTGCTCAAAACAGAATTGTATTTTAAATTTCAATCCAGAGTTGTGTTAAAAAACTAACTTTTAATTAAGGAGCCTTGGAACAATAGATTTGATCGTCTAATGTTTTTAGTGTCTTATCCTGGCTTGTTAAAAGATACCCAAATCGTATTTTTAATCATATCACAATCTCAATATCTCAAATGGAATGAGGGTCGCTCATTAGCATATTTGGAAAAAGCATTTTTTACGAATAATTTGGTACCATACACTTGGTATTTCGAATCAAATTGTCGTTATGAATCGCATGTTGCAATTTCAAATAAATTATATTTGAAAATGTCAAAAGTCGACATATGATATGTCATTCTATTCAGAGTGTCATTTTCTATGAAATCATATAACAAAATACCGAGGGTGTCATTTAAAAATCAAAAGTTATGTCATATACCAACATACCAAATCTTGATTTTTTATCTGCAGAAATACCAAAGTTATGAGAGCCACTTTTGAGACGCATCCGGTATATACAGAGTCAACATTAAATGTTGTAATTTTGTCTACTATTTTAAAGGGAACAAATAATTATTTTGTATTATAATAGAATAGTTTTGTTTAATATTTTAGTATTGAAAATACTTCTGGCCGCGTTTATATGGGACCCATCTTTGAAAAAACGACATGCAAGAGGCGACATGGAGTTCAATAACCTGCCTAATCAACTTGTCAACACGTAAGTCGATAGCTGAATAGTGCAAGGCCGTCCGAGGGCCGAAATGAGGTCTTATTAGTGTGGGCCAACTATTTTATGGATATGGATGTTTAGTCTGGGAAAGGCGATATTATTATAAAAAAGAATATGCGTCAAGGCATCGGTTGTTAAGTACAGATGGGCTATTTTAATCTAACTCTTTCCGTATGAGAAGCAGGGGGCAAATTATACGTGAAAGAGCGGAATAACATAAATAATAAATTTAAACTTAATTAATTAAAAAAAACTTAAAACTTAAACTTAATTAAACTTAAACATTAATTTTTTCTTGTCGCGTAGGATAATCCGCACAATCGATGCATTAAAGGGAATAATTAATTAAATCATTAAGTTCCAAAACATATAATAACATTGACATTCGGGTCTCATCGGATCTGCTGATAGATTTTGATAAAATTTAGGCTATTAGGACCTATATTTTTTATATGATAATTATTTTTTTAATTAACAACTTAGGACAAAGAAAAAGCTTGCATTGTTTCCACCACCAACATAAAACAAATTAATTCAAGGCGGTGCCAAATATTTATTGGGATAAGTTTTTATCGTTTAAATATTGTTGTAAATAATAATTATCATTTAATTAGTGTTAACTTATTAAATTTCACAACACGGCGAAATTTCAACAAAATCGGCTAACGGATCTTTGAGATATTAATAAAAAAGGTCTATTAGAAAACACCTTGACACCCCTGTATCTTTAAAGTTATACTTTTCCGAACACATGTTTATGTGAACTTTTTATCTTAAAAACACTCAAAGAATCAACTCCTGAAGTTTGGCCAGATACTTAATTAACATCCTGTATTTATACATATAGTGATTTAGTAAGCTATGTTTATTTTAATAGGAAAAAAATTCATTTCATAAAAAATAAACAAACCCATAATACAAATACTATACACCAATTAATTAATTGTAATTGTATCTAAATGCACTTTAATAATTGAAAAATATGCTAAAAATAATAATTCCAATAAAAAAACACAAATGGCACATTAAAATATGCATTATCTGAAATCAAACTATAGCTAAACGGCTAATAAAATAATAGAGACAAGACGCCGACATCTATAACAAGATGAGCAGTTTTTAATAATTATTCCGAGTTATTATTACATACTTGTTTTACAATTATTGTAATACAGTAGCATTCCTTCAAATAAATTTTGATTTAAGTATTGATAATATAGTCATATTAATGATTATAGCCCGTATGATTTCTAAAATAAATAATCAAGCGTGTTTTTATCAGAATTATTAAATTATTAAGTAGAAATAGTTAATATTTAGTAACTTCATAAGTGTTATATTTTAATATAATTATGGATTTAATAATTAAATAATTATCTTAAGTTTAAATTGTGGTAAACTTGTATGAGTTTCAATCATTTAGATTTAAAATCATAGGGAAGGCAATATAGATTTTAGGCAGGAGAACTCAAAAGAACAACTGTGTAATTAGTAATTAAGACTTTACAATTTTTTTACTTGCCATTTTCTTGTCGTTCACGTTGCACATTGACTCTTCGTTGTGTCACACACAATCTGAATTTCGGATATGATGCAGAACTGATAAATTGGGCCAAATATATTAATTGCAGGTAATCAAAGACATATTTTTGTTAACTTTGCAAACATTTAAGGCATGCAATAATTTTAAAAAATTTTGACGTGAGATTACTTTATAAAGTAAACGTAAAAAAACAGGTGATTGCTGACCACTGCCGACTTTTGTGTCTGGTATTTTCAATACGCCTATGATGGTTGCGCATGTTGCAAAATCTGTGAATTTTTTTATTAAGCACTTCCTCTACCTAAAATAGATATTTAATGATAAAATGATGTTTTCTTTTGAGACAAGATTTGAATTTCGCTTTTTCAATAGTAGGCGTTTATCATTAAAAGTGGCGAACTAGACTACAGTGTGGACTTTGTCACATAATAATGAATATTACCTTTGTTTACTAATCCATTAATTTTAAAGGTAGCCTCATCGGAAAATAAGATTTTAATTAAATACCTCAATCTTCATGAACTGTAGTAAGCATATACATTGCAAAATTAATTCTATTGATAAAGTCACTTAGATCTTGATGTAGTTCCAATTGACAGGGATGAAATATATGTGCTTTATAATTCAATTAACACTACTCTGAAAATGTCCGTTTAAACCGATATTTCTCGAGAGGAAGCATTAGTATTTTCTTCTAATAATAATAATAATATATTCTCAAGTTACTTACTCTCTTCTTTTATACATTTCAATATTAAATCTTCGTTTGAATTTCTCGAATATGGATATTTGGGGTGCCCTTAAATAGGGATATCTTTGATGATAATTTTTTTTTGCTAAAAATATTTTCAGCTCCTTCCATACAATAAATCATATTTATTAATTCGTAAAAATTGATTATAATCCACTGAGCCAGCAAATACATAAACTCAATTGCAAAAAAAATGCAACGGAGAAGTTTTCGGTCAAATATAAAGTGCCATATTTTTGTTGTTAACCTAACTTTAAAACACTCTTTGTAATAATTTCGTTTGTAAATTTTCCTAAAAAATATGAATTACGACTCCAGAACATTTTGTTTTTTGATTCATGTCCATACATGCTTAAGAGCGAAATGAACTGATCACGATTAATTTGCAATTTTTCCAATTATCATTACTTTTTGATGTAATTTTTTAATATTACGAGATGATACACTATAATGAATTAAAAAACGTTAAAGACTAACGATACAGTCCTGGTTTCAATAAACATTAATAGTGTTAACAGAACTAACAATATTAAAGAAAACATATGTAATACTCAAGTAGGCAATCAGAAAAAAAATTGTAAAAAATACCCTAATACTTTCTATTGCCTCCCTTAGTTGCTATAACTGCCCCTATACGTCCGTTCATACTGTCATTGAGGCTGCATATACCATATTGCCTTATGCTTTCCCATTCTTTTTTAAGACCCAAGTGAAGTTCAGTTAATAGAGCTGGTACAGCTTCGCGACCTCTAACCCTCCTACCAAGCATTTCCCGAACATGATGGACAGGTCATAGTAGTATATAGCTCACAATAATCACCAAAGCCGCCTTGCCATATTAAAAAATAACTTCAAAAAGATATGATAATTGAAAAAATTACAATTTTTTGGCGGAAAGTTTATTTCGCTCTTAAAAATTAATTAGGGCATGTATTGACATGATCCAAAAAACAAAATGTAAAATTATATTTAAAACAATACACACGAAACTATTGCACAGGATGTTTTAAAGTTAAAGTAAAAAACATCCCCTCTATTAACCCTGTATAATATGCCAAATACTACAGTTTATAAGAAACTGAGTTTACAAATTAAAGTTGAATTATATTACAGCTTGCTAAAAAAACATGAAAACAGAGCTAAAAATAAAAAAAATATAACACTTTAAATTTGAACAAAAATTTCTCCGTTGCGTTTTTTCATCTGAGTGTAGTATTCGATTTAAAAATATAACAAATTTTGGTTAGGTTAGGTTAATTTTAGGTAATTGTGGTTTGAAAATATATCTGAATCACCCTGTATGTTTACAAGAACATTTTTATATATTCGGAAAAAAATACAAATGACAAACCAAAATTCTAATTAGAACTTTTTCGGAAACCTGGGCCACTCTGTGTATAAAGATAAGTGTACCTCTTTAGGTGTAGTATCTGGAAGCTGTATCCAAGAATCACCAGTTTTGCAACATACGAAGTAAATCTTTTTGTTCAGACCAACACCTGAAGGTTCTATGGGTGGCTCAGGTGGCTCTTCATACTGTATTTTAGGCATGGGTGGCAAGGGTCTGGGGATTTTTGACTTAGGACTTTCACCTACCATTTCTTCTTGGTTTTTTGATATATCTTTCAAAGCTTTATCCAACTCTTCGTCTCCTGTTACTAAAATTTTGGCCATTTCTTCTTGTTTTGTTTTTTCCTCATATTCCTCATTCCTTTTCATATATTCATCTTCTTTTAGTTCTGCTTCAAGTACCAGGTAATGATTAAACTTTCCAAATATCTTTCCCCCAAAATCGTATCCAGGATATAGGCTCAGTATGGATCATTTTTCGCATCGACAGCATGACAAACGCCATATCTTGTCGGGGTAAACCTAAACCTATTTGTTCCAAGTAATACAATAATTCCATCATATTATTTCTAGACATATCAGCTAACTCGAGATCTTCCGGATCAACTGTAGATGGTGCTTGTGGGGTAAGCGGTTTCAAGGCGGTCATAATACTTGTAGAAAGCTGTAGCCGACTAGGTTCTACAAAAACATCTTCTAAATGGTCTGTCAAAGGTCGATAACGTCGTTCTTTAACTTTTCTACTATATTCTTCGAAAAAATCGATAATATTTTCTGGTCGTTCTGCTAAAATCTTGTTCAAAACCTCCGTCAAGTGATCATATAAATTATCTCCAGTATTAGTGCTCGCAGTTTGTAGAAATGCTTTAGCATTAAAAAATTCAACTTCGGTATTGGGTTCAGTACTAATATTTTCGTCCGCATTGGGATCTACATTATAATCGTAAATCATTTTTGATTGAGTATTTAGTCAGTGTCAGTAAACTATTTGACAAATTCCGATTTAATGTCTGAAGGTTAGAACCAAATTATAACAATTAAGGTAATATAAATGTCTACAATATACAGTATACATAAATATGAATACCTGGTGGTGCATAGTCGCTCGAACCATAGGAAACCCCATGTTAATTTTGAACTGTGGAAATCTTGGCTCCTCTGTTCATTGTGTAGCTTTTAAGCTTGTAAGTCATACATAGATTTTTCTGGCACATTGTCCGTATAGTACAGGATGCGGCTGCAGGATTATTACGCTCATCATATTTTAAATTAAAACCTATTAACTGATTTTATCCAACAACCACTACTTATACAGACATTACTCACATGTATACATGCATATAAAATAAATAGTAACACACGCGTTAGTTTTTAACAAACTAGTGTGTTATAACTTTAAAGCCACACCATTTTATAGAAATTATTAAGATTTATTCATAAATTACTAATTCAATTAGTTATTTAAATTAACATTAACATTAAATGAAAATGAAATATTTTTTGTAAATTCAGAAATTGTAAAACCTTGTATGCCTGCAAATGCGGTCCCTCCACTGCTTGAAAGAGGCTCTGTCATTACAACGGCTCGTTCTCGAACACTTACAGCACCTTGAATCTTTTTCGCAATCTCTCTGGTAATGGACTCGATATATCCTTCCGCAACAGTTGCAGATCGCCATCCTCCGTGTCTTTTTAACGTTGTTCACTCCTGCATTAGCCAGGAATGTAGCGGATGATCTTCTCATATAATGTCAAGTGTATTGCTCAGGATGTTGTAGGCTAGTAATGGGAATACCGGTTCCAGATGAGTCGCGTTACAATAGCGACCGTTCCAGAAAAATACCGCGACAAAATACCGCGATTTTGTAACCGAGGTTCTAACTTCCAAAGTGTCGCGGTCCTCACTTATGCAGTATTCCTGACATTAGTACCTACCTACTCCCAACCGCTGTTGTCAGGTTCTTACAATTCTACCAGCTGTTACAACCATTCGTGTCATAAACTTAAGTACAACTGATATTGGAGATGGAGAATTACCCTCTATAAAACCGTTCTAGATACTGGCTTTTGTCAAAACCCTGGGACTGTATGATGAGTTATAACTCAAGAAAGGGGGACACGATAGATCTGTAAAGTCGCAGCCTTTAACCTCCCTCCCACTCATTCTACATTCTACCAGCTCAAAATACATTTTGCTGAGATTTACTGACTTTTCCACTACCTTTTTTCACAAACTGCAAATTTTAAAAATAAAACTTTCGTAATGATATAAATTGTATTTTTAAATTTATTATAGAGAATGATGAAGTTCTAGCAACACTGCTCCCAATCCTGCCGTTATCTCTTTGCCCGTGTCAATTTATCACTCATATTTATGTGTATTGCAATATAATATATTCGAGAATATATTTAATGTTAAAGTCAAGAACAAAGTCCAAACCACTGTCAAAAAAAATATTTATTGGTGACCGGTTTTGGCAATTCCATCCATCATCAGACCTTAAATATAGATATAAACAATAAAACTTATATAAATGTATAAAAGCAAATAAAATATTTTTATTTTATTTGCTTTTGCGTTTCATCTTTCAAACAACGCTATTTTATACCATGCCTAGTACATACCAAAAATTGCTATTTCGAAAGTAACGTAGCGACGGCAGCACCAACGCCAATAGCAACCCACCAAAGCGCGACAGGCAAAACCGGAACCATAGAAGCACACCAGCCACTGCTGGAACGAAGTACGTCGCCGCCGAGGTCGAGCGCCGATAGCCAGTTACAGCAGGTACCATGGGTTACTTCTGTTCGCGACAGACGGAACTACGGGTTTAGGAGCGCGACGGCTTGAGGAAACACGCGCGACGCTACGTACATACCAGTGCCAGTTACTACTATTAGCGACCGACGAAATCGCAACTGCTGGAGCTAAACACGTCGCTATGCGGTTACTACGGTTCGAGCTAACTTCAAGAGCGATTATAAATAATTTATTTGCAAATTATAAATAATTTATAATTTTGTCGTCATTATGATCGTCGTTCTTCAATAACAGGTTCCTGATTCGTTGTGGAGCGCGACACGACGTCACAAAAATATACCGCTCCAAAATTGCGTTACTCAAATACCGACACATCACTATTGTAGGCCCAATTACTTGCGGAATATCTTCGTGATCATTTTTCTTTAAAATCGGACTTGCTGGTTGATAATTCACTATTTTATCGTTTTAGCATTAAAATAAACTTTTTAGCATTAAAATTTTACCCCCAAAATTTCATTCGAATCATTAAAAGTACTTGGAAGAAAATTATAATAAATCGAAAGATTATTGAGAATTTAACACCTTGCAGCTACGAAACAAAGCAGAATCGGACCTATGTTGATATGAAAAATAAATCTTATTTTTACGTGAGGAATCTCCCCACGAGAGATGGCACTTGTTTTTTGAAACACCCTGTATATAGTTTTTTCATCGATAACATGCCAGACTAATATTGACACAATATGCAGATTTTGAAATACTTTTAAAATATAACTTAACATAAACGGAGATATTTGAAAAGAAAAACGAAAAAATCCAAGATAGCGGTCATTTTTGTCAAACTTTTTCCACGGTGACCGAATGGGACCTTTGATGGGCTAAATAGGAGGCCATTATCCATGCCATTATCTATACATTTCCGCTGAGATTGGTTGGTTACTAATTTTTTTCGCCTTTATATAATAACTAGCGTGTACCAGCGACTTCGTTCGCGTCGAATTAATCTTTTGTAATGGTGATGATAAAGCAAAGCAAGAATTTCCATTAACATACAAACTGGATAAAATTTTCTCACATTTATGTCAGCATGAGAAAAACAATATGGCGCTATTATTATATAACTTGGTAATATTTGAGGGGTAGTTTCATCTCGTTGGAATTTGACTTTCGAAAAATCCGTTTGCCAAAAATAAGCTTTTTACGTCAAGCAGGTTAAGCAGAATCGTGGTTAAGAAATTACCCAACTTTTTTTAACACCCTGTATGATTTTTTAAAAAAATTCAAAATCTGTAAAAAAACAAATAAATTTTGCTTGTCCAAGTGTCCACGGCTAACTGTTTTTTAAATAACAAATATTGTAATATTTGAGGGGCGTTTTCACCCTCTTGGAATTTGAGACTCGAGAAACCCCTCCTTATCGAACCTCTACACCCCACAGTCAATCCGTTTGCCAAAAATCAGCTTTAAACGTCAAGCAGTTTAAGCAGAATCGTGATTACACAATAGTCATATTTTATGAGACACCCTGTATAAATTTATAAAAAATCTTAAAATATGTAAAACAGCAAAATAAAAATATACGTGTTTAAGACTTTTTCCGAAAAACTCACCGGTTTAAATAAACAATATTTTAAAACTTGAGGGATAGTTTCAGCCCCTTAGAACTCGAGTTTCGAAAAATCCCTCCTTATCGAACCTCTACACCCTAAAGTCAATCTGTTTTCCAAAAATCAGCTTTTTACGTCAAGCGCTTTAAACAGAATCGTGATTTATCAATGACCAGATTTTTCGAAACACCCTGTATACATTTTTAAAAAATCTTAAAATATGTAAAAAAACAAAATAAAATATACGTGTTTAAGCGTTTTTTCGGAAACTTGACCGTTTTTTAAATAAAAATAATTGTAATGTTGATATTTCACCCTCTTAGAATTGGAATTTCGAAAAATCCCTTCTTATCGAACCTCTACACCCTAGAATCAACCTGTATACCAAAATTGAGCTTCTTACGTTGTGTGGTTTAAGCAGGATCGTGATTAATCAGTAGGTATGTCAGTCACTTAAGGATTTTATATATTAGTATAGATAAATGGCTACGTTTACTGTAGGTACTAATATGTTTTATTATTCATTTGTAGTACGGTTTTATTGTTAATTTAGAGAATTCTGTACTGAATAGTAATCGTAATTCCACGGCTGTAAGTCGCTCCGAAGGCTTAAGAATATTGGAGCAACCCCTTAATCAAAGATCGTAGTGTAGGTTAAAACGAAGCAAGCCCCATGTCAGCTTTGATAATTTTAAGCGTGGGGGTTCAAACTTTGAACTTGTTTCTCTGTAGTGAGATAATTGCACCAGTCTTGCTTTGAAGATATGTGAGACATATCTTTAAAAAAAGTAATCATTATTTACAGGCATATACAGGGTGTCCCAATATTCCGTGGACATAGAACTACTATGTGTTTTTGGAATCACAATAATGTCATATTTTAACTTCTACAGGGTGGCTCAAAAACAAAGTGAAATTTAACTCTTTTTACTAATATTTAGACTTTATTTACCACCTGTTAACATACGAAGTTTAAGATACAGATACGTTGTAATATGAACTTGTAAACTACAAGTTTTTAGTTTACACATGATAACGGTGAGTGATCATTCTGACCGAAACGTTGTGTTAATCAAAATAAATAAAGAGAATAGAAGTCCTACATCCTTTTATTTTCAGTATTGAATCATTGTATACCACATTCAAAAAAATGGTAGTACATATTATAAACTAATCTATTTATTAATTACCAGATAATATACAGACCGAACCACCGTAGTAGTAACATAGGCAGAACCGGACGAATTAGCGTATACCCGTCCGCCGGATAAAAGGCAGGCGAAAAAATGCGATAAAATAAAAATAGGTAGAATATGTGATAAGAATGATTCAGAATTTGTATTTATTCGTGTTTTAATAGCCAAAACGAATACATATATTCTCGCGATAGTTCTCGTGTAAAATTTATTTTTTAAGTAAAATAATGGATGTTTACGAAGTTCGTGAGAAAATTCAAATTGTAAAATGGTATTTCCAAAATAGGTCTTATCGGGATATACAAACAATTTTTCCACAAACTTTTGTAAACAGGCCAATTCCATCTTTACCTACTATATCAAGAGTTATTAATAATTTTGAAACACACGGGTGGGCGTGTCCCCACAAAAACACAAAAAGCCTGATG